GACTCCAAGCAGAGGATTGGTACAGTGACCCTTGACTCCAACCCTGCCAACCATGCCATCGACATTGCAAAGCAGATTCGACAGTTGTTTGTCGACAATCCCAAAGGCTCAGTGTCCATATACTTTTGTTTCCGTACCAACGATGTCAACCAGACCTACTCGATTGCTTCCACCTCGAATCAGGACCATATGCCACATCTTTGGTTTTTGGATCCAACGCCAAAGCAGAGCCAAGACAATGTGGTCATGTCCTCGCCCTATGTCCAGCCTCCCAACCCTTCACAGAGCTCGTCGGGCACTCCAGCACCAAGCACCACTGCATCGATCACTGGTGCCACCACAGGAACTGGTGCCAGTTCGATTACCGGCACTCCAGATGGACCAAGCTCTGGAAGCCACCTGTCATCATCATTCCTTCTAACTTTCATAACCTTATTGTTGTCATCTCAGTTCATCTAAATAATAAACTCCACCTTGTAGTTTGCTTGTTTATAAATTTCAATCTTTGAGTGATTGAGTGAGTGAATGAATGGATGAATGATTGATTGACATGTATTATCCTCTACATGAATGAAGACAATTAACCAACTCAATCAGATAGGACTTGGTTCATCTTTGGATTGGATGGGATGGGTTGATGTTGCCTCTTGGCAAAGTGCCCTTACAAGTGTTGTTTGAAACCGGCAACAGGGAAAGACAAGGGGATGTGACAAGTTGCCGGTGACTCCTTGTCTGTCACAATACACACAAGTGCCTTTGACTAGAGACAGACAGGTTGGTGATTTGTTAATTATCCGTTATTATAATGGGCTAGTTCTTTTGAAATTGATCACCCCACATATTATAATAGTTCTAAATCGAGATCATTGATTGATCGTGTGGTTGGTGAGCGTGGAAACACACTAAAGTGTAAGAGGTGGGGGAGAACAGTGTGCGCTTGTGACTCTCCTGTTTTGATTAGACCTTCCTGTTGTTGGGTACCCCAACAACCCATCACTCTTCCAATTCCAATCCCAACAAACGAAACTCATACAGATATATAATATTTTTAATACTTATTATTATTATTACAACAGTGTTTGAAAAGAAGAGGAAGAAGATTAAGATCGCATTGATAGTGTTGACATCAATCAATCATCACTTCACACACACTAACTCACACAGATAAGAATTGACAATCAAGCACCATGCGTGTGGTCTCAGTGTTGTAATCGCAATGAACAATCACCCAATCAACACACCTCCACATCTTCATCAACATCCACATCGTTGTCACTGACAATCAATCATTCATTCACACACTCCACCATCAACATCCTTTCATACACATTCCACAACATTGAGAAGAACCAGACCCAATCAGTGCACTCCACTCATCTTCAATCAATCCCCATTAATTAGTTCACTGTAACTCACTATTGCTAGTTATAACTAAGAAAGAGTATTTATAATTATATATTCATACAGATACGATCCACCAGTGGAACGAATGAACGAAAGACCGTTCTAACACTCTTTCTCGCCACAAACAGACGCGCACGCCATGGCCTCCCCAAGCAAACTCTGCATAGAGTTTGAACAAAATATTTGGAAGCCAAGCCTTTGTAAACATTGTTGTAAACCTAGAGACGCTCATGGTCCAGGCGATGACCATCTTCCATTGATGTCCCCGTCGCCAAACAAATCATTGTCATCTTTGGAGCCGGTTTCGGCATCGATTGAGACCAATTCCCCGGCCTCACTGGGCCTGACTCCAACTAAATATGTCAAAGTAATTCCCAAGCCAACAGTGCCAATCTCACCAACTCACTACCAGTTGCTATCCAGACCTTTGACACCAAAGGTACAGTCGCCAATCAAAATGTTGTTGGAACCATCCCCTCTCAAACATCATACTGTCTCGACTCCAGCAACTCCAACACAAACACCAGAGAAACAGACAAAGATGACCTCAACCAAACTTGACTTGAGCCAGATGTCCCCCTCAGTGGCTCAATCTTTGACAGCACCTTGTGCGGCTATAGCAGGAAACATTGGCGGCAGTTGTGGTAGTAGCGCTGGAACTTCTTCCTCCTCCACAGGCTCAGCGGGTAGTACCACCTACACAAGCAACAGCAGTTGTAGTAATAGTAGTGGAACAAAGAGCAAGCGATCATCCATGTCCATCACAATATCAACTTCTCGATCATCATCTGCTCTGGTCCAGGACTCTGACAACATTACTTCAACCTCAACTTCCATTCTCTCAAAGGAGACTTCCACAGATTCATTGTTGGCGACCACAATGATGACGACAACCAGCACACCAATGGATGGCGCGGCAGCGGGATCAACCAGTGATCACCAAGACAACAACAACCACCACTCAACTCAATATCCCAGCCAACTTTGACAACTCCCCAGCAATCCTCAACCTGACCCTCAGCAACAACACTACAACCGAGATCATTGATGACGAAGACGACCCATTCAAGGACTTTGATGACCTGATCGACGGCCCCAAGACCATCACAACCACAACCATCTCAACGACCAAGGAAGCCGAGGGCAAGACCGAGACATCGACATCATCCACAACGACCATCATGTGCCACTCACCCAGAGGCACGTCGCCAGCCAGTCGCCGCATGCTACCATTGAGCCCAGCCACCAACATACGTAAACAATTGTGCATGGACAACTACAAGGAGAATGATGACGATTGGGACCAGGGCGTGGATCTCACGTCATTCCTGCGCCACAAGAAGAACCTGGCCAAGGACTTTAACTATTGCTCCAACAAGATAATGGAGATATCCAGTGTTCAGCTCGAGGCTCAGCGCCAGTCTGTGGACTTTGGCGGCACCATCCATCCACAGGCGTTCCAAGCATTCAAGGAGATCCTTCAAGCCAAAGAGACACAGATCAAGAAGGCCATGAAGTCAAAGAAGATTGATGAGAAGGATTGTTTAATGTTGATCGAGCACTTGGAGTCTGTAACCGAGGTTCTTGACAAACTCCTGTTGGGCAACACCTCTGATGATGAGCATGGTCTTCAGGAGCCAACATCACTCAATCACTCCACAGGCTCAGCCACAACCACCACTACCACAACGACAACCACTACCGAGATTGCTGTTTAATGATTAGTTCTGAGGGGCATCGGGTCCCTGATCTAGGTCTAGGCCAAGATCAACAGATCAATCAATCAAGGATAGTGGAATAATCCCATTCCTTGGGTGTCCATCAAGGTACCCAAGGACAGGAACCGTCATACGCCAAGTTGCAACAAGATCTCTTGGGGTGCGATGTACATTCACTTATCCAAATGCACCAAGGGTAGGCAACTTTGGTGTTGGCCCAGGGAGTCCCGCCATTAGAGGTCGGGTCCAATTTCACCTTCATCTTCACCTTCAACTTCAAGATGGATTGTTCGCCCATCCTTTATGCCAAAGAGTGTTGGGCCTGGTTCGTACTTACAGAGAGATATTACTTTGAGAAATAAAATATCTGTTTTCAGTACCATGCACCGAAAGACCTACTCATTGGAAAAATCTGATCAAAACGAGTGTGCTCGTGGTGGCCCTTGTGGCTGAAAAGGGCCTTGTCTTGTTGTTGTTTGATTTGGTGCGTGTGATTGAATCAATGAGTTGTTGACACCATCCCATTATACACTACCATGTGAGTCTACCTCCAGAGGCAAGTTTGATAAATAAAGGTACCTACCTACTTCGTCCCTCCTGCCTCTCTCCCAAGCCTTCTCCATCCATCCATCCATAGGCCAAACATTTAACAATCACTCTATCTCTCTTGTACATAATAATAATAATCATAATAATAATGTATAACTACAACAACAACAACATAATGTTGCTCGTGATGAGCATCATATTGATGGCGGCAGTATTGGGTACCACCACCTCGACTGGTGTCTCAGCCCAGCAGTTAACCACCATCACTTTCAACACAATGATCGACTGTAGCGACTTGGAGAACCCCTGTGACTTTATGAACAAGACCAATTACTTGGAGGGCATTGCGCCCAGCGCGACAACAAACGTGATTATCAACTACAAGTCGGCTGGCCTCACACAGTACATCACACTCAAGACCGGTGTCTCAGCAACGGTTGGCGCACTCAATGTTGGCGGCATCGGCAACGTGGAGTTCACCGTCAATGCCGACCTCACCGTGCTCAACCTGGCGATGTTCAGCAACGTGAGCGCCAACGTCCAGATGTCCAGCATGACCGTGTGGGACACGTTCCTGCTGCTCAAGGGCACCCTGTTCACCGTGTACAACGGATCGCTGCTGACCAACAGCACTGTAATCGTCAGCGATGGCGTCATCCTGACCGCGCACGACTCGCCCATCACCTTTGACTGCGCCGTCGCCGACGCCTCCAACACTCAGTACCTCCAGTTCAACTCGACCCCAGTGTTGGTCGGCAACTCGCCATTCACCGTAAGCGGCCCCGCCTCGACATTCCTCGTGGGCATCCGCGCAATTGAAAGCACCGGCATGGTGTTCCTCAACAACACAGATCTCTACGGCATCTCAGGCATGCAGCAGCTGCGCGTTCTCAACGACCTGGACCTGCGCAATGGTGCCACACTCATGGTGAAAGATTTCTTGTCTGGCATCGAGTACTCACGCATCAATGTCAACTCGGGCACGTTGTATGTGAACAACAACAACGCAGGCGCCGAGGGCTCCAAGGTCAAGATCTACAGCATCTCGTCGGACCCAATGGGTCTAATCACCTTCATGAACGTCGAGAGAGTCGACGTGATGCAGATCACCGCCGAGGGCAACTTCACGATCGACACCGTCACCATATTCAACATTGGAAGCGAGGACGCTGGCCTCGTGTCCAACTTCTCGCGTCTGATGATAGCTGGCCACTCGTACCTCAATGTGGACAACTCAAACATCTTCCGCTTGGCCGTCATTGAGTCCAAGCTGGTCAACAGCCAGCCGGGAATCTTCTTCAACCTGACCTCTTGGAACAGCATCTACGAGTTCGAGTCCTCACTCAACAACACGATATTCTGGGTGCTCGAGCGTTCCACGCTAGAATTCTTCGACGACGCCTCCTTTGTTGGAGTGTCTGGCATCTACCTGTACGGTGAGATCACTCTCGACCAGGACCTATTCTTGGACGAGTACCCCGCGCTCAACATCGTCGGAGGCGTGGCATCCATGGTCACCAACTCCTCGACAATCACTGGTGACGTGACCATCTCAAACGGAGTGCTCTGGCCACTCGACACCACAATCTATGGCAACCTCTACCACAACGGTGGCACCATCCACTTTGTCAACACGTACGGCAGAAACCTGATGATTCTGGGCAACTACACATCGGAGGAGGGCGCCATCCTGGGCTTCTCCGACTCTCTCGAGATGGCCGGTTTTGCCACTATCTACGTGGCAGGCACAACAGATCTTGAGGCCACCCTAATGATCCAGTTCATAGATGACATTGCCATCGCTGGTGCCGATTACAACATCTTGTCGTCTGCTACCAACATTGTTGGCGAGTTCGAGTCGCCCGAGGTCCATTGGGCCACTGATGAGGAAGTTGACACATTCAAGATCAACATGTACAAGCAGCGTGATGTCATCCTCACGTTCATTGGTGAAAAGGAACACCATGGTGTACCAGGTTGGGGTATCTTCCTCATCATCCTGGCCATCTTTGTCGTGCTTGGTGCTGGAGTTGTAGTCTACATCAAGTACTTCAAGAAGCCCAGTGGATACGTGCCACTCTAAACTCTTGAGATACATTGATCGATCAATCACTCACAGTCTTGCGCATCAACAACATATATCGAACTCCATCACTCACTCATCATCACACTCACATGGCGGAACTGGATTCTCCGTCAGTCGTCTGTCCACAAGACATCAAAGGTCCAATAAAACTACCATTCAAATCAATCATTCAAGAGCTGGAACTATCCCATTAATCACTCAATCAATCAATCAATTTTGATGGGAATATTATAATTCTTTAATGTGTAGATAGATCACTTTTAATTAAATTAGTGAGGCGAGTTGATGATGGGGAGAGTTTACAAGACGTAGATGTTCTTGATCCAGAGGTGTGCAGGTGAGTCTGAGCGAGCAATGTAACCAAAGGTGAAGGAGTAGCCTGCAGCCAAACTGACTTGGTATGATGGGAACATAATATCACCATTTGGCAGACGGTTGACATTCCAGAGATCAGTGCCAATGAATGGTAGCTCAGCACCATCGATCAGAACATCCTTGATGGCAACTGGTCCAATGTTGGTAACTACAACAGTGACCTGGACAAAGTCAATACCATCCTGCTTCCAGCGGTTGGCAACATCTTGGGTTAAGGATACACGCTCTCCACATCCATCTAATGATTGATTGATTGAGTTAGTTAGTTTTGATTAGATTGGATTGGGGTTGGGATATTATAATGTACATACTGGAACATGATGGGTAGGGTGGGATACCCTTCAGACAGGTCCAATAACGGTCACATGCGTTGGTACCACAGTTGTAGTAAGCTGATGTCAAGGAGAGTAGAGAGAGAAGGAGCAACAGGATAATGGACTTCATTTTATAATTGGATAAGATATTAAGATATTAAGTTATTTAAATACTTTGATATTTGATTGATTGTTTGTTGATATTGATACCTACCTTGGAACTAGGCTATTTATAATGAATGTTCCAGTCTTGATCATGTCCGGTCCAGTCAAGTCCAGTCCAGTCCAATCCAGTTCAGTCCAGTTTCACTCGCTCACTCCCTCACAGCATCACTTTCAACTTCAACCTCTTAAGTTGATCACGTGATTCGAAGTGTGGAGAGCGCGAGTATGATCCTGTCAGTTGGTACAGATGTCAACGTAATCGTTGCCATCAATCTCAAAGTGTCACTTTAAAGACAAAAATGGTAGTTGTCTTCTTATAAGTTATATATATGTTCATTCCAATATGTCTAAGTATGTGTATGAATGTGAGTGGAGAGGGAGTAAGGGTTGTTGTATCTGATCATAATGGCGAGTGTGAGTGTGTGAGTGTGATTGAATGATTGAATGAGTGTCAATCACGTGATTGAACACATGTCCAACAACTTACAATTCAAATTACAACGTGCCAAGTGTCAATCAATCAATCAATAGTCGCCATGACCAATACTTCCACTCAAAATGGATGTACTGAGGAACGTGACTACTTGACACCATCTCCATTTTGATGCAAGTACTGCACTACTTCGCCATGCTGATTCCTATCCGCGTTCATTAGAGCATAGCGTGTGCCACCCTCAGTGCGATTCTGGAGGAGGAATTGAACGACGGGAAGGTGACCATTACTAGCAGCCCTGTCCACAGCTCGGGTTGAGCATCCTTCCGTGCGATTGATGTGGAGGAACTTCACGACGTCAAGATGTCCCATGGCCGCCGCCTTGTCCATCGCTGCCAGAGTGCATCCCTCTGTGCGATTGATGTGCAGGAATTGGACAATGGGCAGATGTCCTTGCTCCGCCGCGATATCCATCGCCATGGTCATGCAGCCTTCAGTGCGGTGCTCGTGTAAGTAGCGCAGGATTGATAGATGGTTGTATTGAGCTGCCCGGATCATCGCATCGGTCGTGCAGCCTTCCGTGCGATGCTGATCGAGGAACTGCACAATATGCAGATGTCCCAACGACGCGGCAGAGTCCATAGCATCGGTCGTGCAGCCCTCTGTTCGATTGTGATGCAAGTACTCCACCATTTCCAGGTCACCATTCGCTGCAGCCCAGTCCATTGCCTGGGTCGAGCATCCCTCTGAGCGATTGTCATTGAGGAACTGGACGACTGAGAGGTGGCCTTGAGACGCGGCCTTGTTCATTGCGATGCCAGTACATCCCTCCGTCCTGTTGTAATGCAGAAACTCCACGATAGACGTGTGTCCAACCAATGAGGCGCGATCAATCGCATCGGTCGTGCAGCCTGCCTTGCCCGATCGATGCAACAACTCAACGATTGACATGTGTCCATTGTGTGCAGCCAAGTCCATTGCGTCGGTTGTACAACCTTCTGTCCTGTAGTCCATCAAGTAGCGTACGATGTCCAAGTGTCCGTTTCGCGCGGCCACGTCAATGGCGAACTTGGTGCATCCTTCTGTTCTGGTGTTGTGAAGGTACTCAACGACCTCAAGGTAGCCGTTGGCTGCAGCCATGTCCATTGCCTTGGTCGAGCATCCCTCTGTGCGAGTGTTGTGAAGATACTTGACAATGTCAAGTCGACCATTCTCTGCGGCCCAGTCGATGGCCTGTGCGGTGCATCTCAAGTCATACTTGTCGAACAAGAATTGAAGGATTGGTAGTGCGGCAGCATGATCCAAGGCCATTGTCGTTGGCTTGGCGCCAAGACTATGCAACAAGTATACCATATCCAATCTACCTACTGTAGCCAATGCATCCATGGCACGTTGTGCCAACAGAGGGAATAGTTTAGTATCATTGTTATAAAGATGTTTGATCATATAACTATGACCATTATATGATTGAAGTGGACAATGTATGAATGCACGTGATTGTGAATGATTGTTATAGTTGTTATCGTTGTTATTAAACATCAACTCTCTATTGATTCTCTGACCTATTGTATCCTTGTCTTGAAACAATGATTGAATGTGGATGATCCATCTACCAAGTACCTCTCTCCATGTATAAGTTCTACATTCCATCCTCTTATGTATCAACTTTATACACTTGAACAACATGATTTTCAACCATCTATCATTGAATATCACTTGTCTAAATAACAATGTTAATGTATTATTACTATTAATATTATTCATTATTTATCTATTATCTTATCAATATTGTTTACAAGATTGAACAAGAACATTTATCACAGCGCGTGCTATTGAATAGAGCGATGGCGTGCCATGACTATTGGTCTAGAATAGAGTAAGTATTATAACTTTGAATGGACCAATGAGTGGTGTGAATAAAGAAGGAATGATTCTGATGAAGTTGTTCTTAGGACTTGAAGCACTTGAAAGTTCGATTTTGAAAATATCCATGTTTGGTTGGGGTTTCAGACCTGGTCTCTTGCAACCCTTCCCGCGACCTTCTCGGACATTCATTCATTCATCCATCAGCAATCAAACCCCGGATTCATGCCACACTGCCATTACTCTTTCATAATTATGATGATGTCGCCGACAGCACCAGCAAAGCACATGTTGATTAATTAATACATAGAGATAGATAGATAGATATAGATTATAGATAGAGTTGTTGTAGTGTAATAATAATACTAATAATATAACATTACTAATTTAAATACGAATGATCAAAGACCCTTTCACAACATCGATAGTAACGACTACAGTTAGATTGGACATAAATAACTCATAATGAAGCTATTCCAAAAGGTAACAATCATGAGGATGTTGATTGATTGATTGATTGAATGAATGATTGACTAATCACACTTATACAATAAACAGCTAAGATGGAATAATAATAACAATGCTGCTGTTGATGATCAGTTGTCAACATCACCATCGACTCAACAACAACAGCAACAGCAGCAGCAACAACAGAAGAATAAGAAACAGACATCAAGTACAAACAATCGATCGACACCTACATCAAACAAACAGAAGTCTAGCTCATCATCTGTGACCTCACCCACGACCAGCAACTCATTGAAGAAGCATCATCATCACCATCACCATCATCATCATAAGAAGGGAACGACTGTACCTCAATTCAAGATGGTGTCTGTACAGAACTCTGACTCACTGCTATCGATCGCAAAGAAATTCAATATGTCCGAAGAGGACTTGGTCATTGTCAACAGACTAGCATCGACACGCTACCTCATTCCCGGCCAGGTCATCGTCACCTGTCTCAACTTTAACACCAACACAATTATCAGACCCATCTCATACTCTCTCCTCAAGGACTCGTTGTCACATATCAGTCTGGCCAGCAGCACGAGCAGCACCAGCACCACATTGTCCACATCGGTCGGATCATTGATATCATTGGCCGACTCAAACAATGCCGTCGCCACCACCCCCAACAGCAAGGTCATCGTTGGCGGCATCGGCACGCCTGGCGAGCTTGAGCATTCCAACTCATTCCATGATCTACACCTGGCCCATCAGCCACCTGTCGTCTCAATCTCGACAGCTCAATCAGACAACAACAACAACGCCCACAACTACAACATCGAATGTGCCAGACAAAGAGAGCAGATCAAACAGATGTTTGACATGTTCAAACAATCACATGATTCGCTGGTGGCTTTGGCAGGGGGCGACAGTGCCACCGCCACAATGGAACAGATCTCATCACATAAACTATTCCTCCCATCGCTCCGAGAGCGAGGCAACAAGTACCTCACCACCAGGCACGAGGAGGACTACAGGCACCATCACGAATACTCTGCTCACGCGCCCTCAGCAGATACCCAACTCCTACCCGACTGTATACTCTCATTCAAGAATGCCATCTACTATCTAGACTATGACACTATGGTATGTTTGATCGTGTGATCGACCCTGGAATGATCCCATCCTGACCTTTGACCCCTGCCTCAACTTTAGCAAATGCAACTTCATGGAAGTATCCAGATCAATGCCAAACACCTGGCATTCGCTGCACGATCATCAAACTACTCATTCAATCGCATTGAGGTCGCGTTGACTGATGTGCTGTTCTGGAAGTTTGACGAGGTGTCTACAGACTTGGCAGAGATGAACGATAGTATAAGCAGTGATGATCATTGTATCTTTAAGATATGGGTCAAGTTGTCAGAGGAAGAGGAGGACGACGAAGATGACGACGACGACTCGACTGCCACACAGACCGAGTACGACACAGTAACCTCGGCAACGACAGACACAAAGGATGAGGAAGAGGAGGATGAGGAGGAGCTGGAGGATGGTGGCGCAGGCGCCGGTGAGGTTGAGGAGAAGATATTCATTATCGACAAGACAGAGATTGACATGGAGCTGTGGGAGTCTATCTTGATCGAGATCCTCGGCCAGCCATTGAACCATTACTATCGACCTGACAGCAACAGCAACAAGACTACCTCACCAAAGGACAGTCTATCATTCTCATCAGATCTGTTGGCGCCTTTGACTCCAGCCTCGCCCCGTGGAGGCATCAAACAGAGCACGTCAGCTCGCGAATCATTCGAATCAGAACATCCCTTGCTCACAAAGACCAGCCTCTTGCTCGATCACCAACAGTTGCTTCCCGACACCACCGCGTCCAAGATCAACACCATCCGTAACATAAAGAAGAACAAGGTATGTCAGAGCAGCAGCTCAGGTAGTCACTCGCTCGTTCGTTCGCTCACACAACATCCTTCACACCACAACAGAAGCAAGAGGCAGTATTCAAGAGAGAGATACATTGTATATTCCAATCTAGGAAGGTCAAGGGCACGCTGACACTGTTGCCACATTGGATCATCTTCCAGGGCAACCCCGACGACAAGCATGTGATTCAGGAGGGCAGCATCAGGTTCCAACTCAACTACACGATGGACCAGGTTGTGTCATGTACATTGGAGACCAAGACAGCGCCATTGTCGGCGTCTGCCGCTCATCCACTGAGCAGCAGCACGTCACTGAGTGAGGACGAGGGTGAACTACAATTTCAGATTGAAGACCATGTCATTAGTGATCGCGAGGGCAGTCGAGACAGCACGAGCAACAGTGAGTTCAGCCGAGACGATCCTTCAACCATATCACACGTCGTCAGCAAGTCCCTTGTACACGTCACACTAATGGTCACGCCCACAATCGAGAAGAAGATACACTTTGAATGCGAGGATGAAGTGTAAGTTGTTGCCACATACTTACCACCATGTTGGGACCATTCCAAACTAACTCCCTCATTCACTCAATGTATATAGCGCGGTCAATATATGCCAGCAGATCAATCAATGGATGGGCGAGGCAAAGAACAATGTAGAGGTTTCACCAACAGGAAACACGGGAACAATGATCCTGGACAACATACTTCCACTCTCCCCACTCAAGTCAGGCAGTCCATCGACCTTTGCCAAGATGTTGTTCAGATGGAACAAGGGCGATGATGAGAGCGAGGAGGAGGACGAAGAGGACGACGATGATGTCGGCCCTTTCGTACCCACGTTGTTTGGAAATTCAGCCTACATCGATCCAGAGGACACACTTCATATCATCTCGGACCTGCCTCGCCAGCTCCAGCTTCGTGACTGGGTGCTTCTATATCAGACGGGCCGCGATGGAATCTCGATGAACACATTCTTCAACAAGACTGAGTCACAAGGTGCCTGTATCATCTTCATGCGAGACTTTAACCACAACATATTCGGTGGATTCCTCTCCGAATCGATCAGGAGGTCCAACACCTTTTATGGCAGCGGCGAGTGTTTCCTCTTCAAGCTAAAGCCAGCCTACCAACCCTATCACTGGTCCAGAGAGAATCGTTGTTTCATCCTTACCAGCAATAACTTCATATCGATGGGTGCTGGGTATGTGTACACTCATTCATTGACTCACGGCGCTTACTACATGTCATACTAATATTCATCACTCTACTTAGTAACAATGGCAAGTATGGACTGTGGCTTGACGACAATTTTGATGAAGGCACATCTGGAAAGAGTGAGACCTTCAATAATGACCCATTGTCCACGTTGGAGGAGGACTTCAAGTGTCTGGACATGGAGATATGGGGCTTCGTTTAGAGGTCTAGACATCCTCTAACCCATCCAACCCAGTCAATCATCTTATCCAAACAACTGTAAATTATCTCTGCTCATTAATGAATGAGTTGTCCACTCATCACTTAGTAAACATCCTACTACTACTCCTTTAATGTATCAATTAGTATTGGTACTGTCCTCTTGTGACTTCAATAAGATACACCAATCAAGTTGTGGAGTGATTGTTGTGTCGCCATCCGTGAATTTAGATATGATGTGACCTGCATAGATGTCTGTTTGGTACTCCTTGCCACCATCAATGACCTTGAGTGGACATGATATATATCCTCTGGCAATATCTCCAATGTCCATCACTGGCCATGGTGTTGGATGAAATATATTCTTGTATGTATATGAGTTCTTCTCTTTTCCATGTAATTCAAAGACTGTTTCTCTCCAACTCCTTTCGTCACCAATCCATTCACCCTTGTTTGTGAATGGGATGAATGATGTGATCCAACCTGATATCAGATTCTGACCTGATTGCTTTTGAATATGAGAAGCAATTTTGTTCCACCATACAGTGTCAGCCTTGCCCTCGGCTGACATAACCAAGTTGTCCAACACAGGAAGTAGCATATCTAGCCACTTGGACATCAACTTGTCCTTGAGATCGAACTCGATCAATCGTTCAGCACGCTGACGAACTTGTTTCCAGTCGTCCACAGTGCCCATCATGGTCACTTTGGGCAGTCCACATTCAGTCTTCATTTTGTAATCAAAGTATGATTTCAATGTGGACATCAATGCGAATGCACCAACAACACGATCATTGTTGGTCGTCGTTGTGAAGTCTGGTAACACCCATTCTCTTATCGATGGATCCTTGATATTCCCAGCAATCTGTTGAGCGAACTGATTGGCCACATCATCAAAGGGTGCAGTGAAGAGTGTGCCATATGTACGAACTATTAGTTCGCTCTTGTCGTCGAATGATACAAACATTGATCTCAACATCTCTGAGTTGGCATTGACGTAGAATGAGAACTGAGTGATCAGCGCAAGCCACACATCATCGGGTCGAACCACAAGATGAAGATGTTGACTATATGCCAACAAAGCTGATCGAATGAATGAGTTGTTTCCAATTCTTTGGATTGATGTTGGGTCCACGCTAAGGCTGGACTTGATCACTGTTGGCTCAACAACATCAATGCCTTTGAAATGTCGTAGAAATCTTTGATTAAAGTCCAACTGCTCATCACCATCAGGGATGAGTGATGAATACTTGAACGTTGATGATGATAATGACTTGTATGGCTTGGGATCAACAGTGGAGTCCACAATAAATGTGATCATTCTTTATGTATTAGTATCTGTATGATTGATTTATTGAATGGAAGAATGATTGATCAATATTTTTGAATGGCCGAGTGATGACCATCAATCACAACACATTACATCACTTTATTTCAACAATATGCACCAATCCAATTGTGGAATGATTGTATTGTTATCATTGGTCAGCTTTGATACGATGTGTCCTGCGTAGATATCGGTTTCATATGGGATGCTACCAGGTTTATCCTGCACAGTGAGTGGACATGTTAGGTATCCACATGGTATATTTGCAGTGTCGATCACTGGCCATGTAGTTGCTACCTTAGGACAATCGATTCCAAAGTTTTGGTAATGCTTATGATCACCATTCCATACACCTTTGTTTGTGAATGGGATGAATGTTGTGATCCAGCCTGATAGATTGGATACTCCAGACCCACGTCCAACTTTGTTGGCAATCCTGTTCCACCAAACAGTGTCGGGCTTGCCCTCGGCTGACATGACCAAGTTGTCCAACACAGGAAGTAACATATCTAGCCACTTGGACATCAAATTGTCCTTGAGATCGAACTCGATCAATCGTTCAGCACGCTGACGAACTTGTTTCCAGTCGTCCACAGTGCCCATCATGGTCACTTTGGGCAGTCCACACCTGGACCTCACTGTATAATTAAAGTATGACTTCAATGTGGACATTAATGCGAATGTACCAACAACACGATCATTGTTGGTCGTCGTTGTGAAGGAGGGTAACACCCATTCTCTTATCGATGGATCCTTGATATTCTCTGCGATAAGATCACTAAATTTTCCTGTCATTCTATCCATTGGTTCGGTGGATATGCCTTCGATATAAGCTATTAGCTCACGCTTGTCATCGAATGGTACTACCTTTGACCTCAACTGGTCAGAGTTGGCATTGACATAAATTGAGAACTGAGTGAGAAGTGCCAGCCACACATCATCCGGTCGAATCACAAGATGTAGGTGTTGACTATATGCTTTGAATGCTGATTGAACGAATGAGTTGTTGCCTAGATCAACAAGATTCGGGTCACTTTCAATGCTTGACCTTAACACCTTTGGAGGTTTCTTGATCTCTTGATCTTTAATGAGGCTTGCATGAGTGAATGGTGTTGTATGGCCACACAACATCTTTGGCTGCACCTTTGAATCTACAACGAAAGTGATTGATTGATGTCCTGTTGATGTTGTTGTTGTTGTTGTTATTGATGTTGATGTTGTGTTTGGTTTGGGTAAACCTAGTTGAGTGAGCCAATATAATGGATTGGCCTTGCCTTTCGGACGTCTTGGCTTAAACTTCTTCTTGTCAGTTGGGACTCGATCATTATTATTATGATCATTCTCATTTGATCTCCTACTACTTCTCATTATTATTATTATTATTATTACTAGTATACCTCTTATTATCTCTATTTGATGGAAAATGAAATGAGGGAATTCCCCAAACGAATTACCAAAGTTATAACTTTGCTCTAATCAAACATAAAAGTTTATTGAGCCTAGAACTCTACATCGATCAATTAGACAATCAATCAATCAATCAACCATGGTCAGTATCAAACAGATTAATTGAAGTTGCCATCAAAGCCAGAGAATCCAGCGAGTAGGAAGATTGAATGGAATCGCTTCTCCTGGATCTTTGAACACCAGTTCCACGCCGATGTCAATCTGCCATCAATACACGAGCCTGCATCAAAGAAGTTGTCTGCACCACTGCCATCAAAGGCATGCTTGAAAAAGTCTGACAAGATGAGCTACAGGAGGTGGAGGAGTGTTAGCGTTTGGTTGGACATTGGGACGTCGCGTGTCAAGACAAGGACTTACCTTTGTCAGATTGTCTGGACCACCAAAGGCCTCTTCGATATAGGCTATGATGCGCTTGTTGTTGACCTTGAAGATGTAGTTGATGGTGATGACGATCGGATTGAGGATTCGCGAGATCTGTGTGTATTTGTCGATGAAGGAGAGAGCGTTTGGTACATTGTTGTCGCCCAGGTGAACTACTGATGAGCCGACCCACGCGTCGCCAACCTTGGCCTGCGACGAGTGCAGGATGTGTCCCATCTCGGTGGAGATTCTTGGCGCGGGCTGCACACGGTTCAGACCCTGGCCCGTCTGCGTGAGCTTGTAGGGGATGCCGCCGAGCAGATCGTTCTCGGACATGTACCACAGCTTGAACATGTCGTGCAGGATCTTCTTCCAGAGGGTCAGCGACTGGTATACATAGTAGAACTGCTTCTTGTGTGTGTGGTTGAGACGCGCGCCCGCCTGGCCCGGCGTGATCTGCAGCGAGTACTGCTTCTCCTCGACGTTCGGGTCAAAGAACTTCTTCAGCAGTCGGATCATCTTCCTGACCGAGTCTCTGTTCTCGCGCAAGTATGTATGATTGTCGCCAATGGAATATATGCACTGCTCCAGGATATCCTTGTTGCCGCGCGAATACTTGCTTAGCAGCATCTTGATGGCGCGCTCCTTCTGCTTGATCTCGCTCTCGACCTTGTAGCGCTCCTTGCCCTCGGGCAAAATCTCGCGAGTGGCGTCCGCCAGCAGCGGGTCCTCCAGCAACTTGAGAGAGTTGTGCTCGGCCAATGTGGAGTGCACAGTCTTTAGCGGTCTGATCAGGTTGAGTCCCAGTGCCTCCTTGATCTCCTCCCTAGTCGAGTCCTGCAACAAATGGATCATCTTGCCATACTCTGATCTCATCTTCTCTGGATTCATGATCTTGTGTCGTCTACCAATCTCAAAGATGTCTTGGAAGAACTCCTGTTCGCGTCCAAAGTCCTTGTTCTCCAACAACTCCTTTCCAACTGCTCTATCCCTGTATGATATGTTAGTGAATCAGTTGTTGCGAGTGATTGACGCTGATTGAATGCATACTCTGATATTGATAGTCCACAAAGGATTGAACAGATCTGGAGGAGTTGGGTGGCGATACGTTTGGGCCTGGACAAGCCTTCAATGTCCACTTTGTCGGTGTACTCTGACACGTGGAGTACAGACTCGAGCAATCTCAGATACCTCCTCTCGTTAAAGGTCAATCGCACTGGGATGTACTTGGAACGCTCTGTGAACCAGTTCTTTGCCAACTGCTTGTAGCCAGTGTGATGACCATACTTCATACCATCCTCCTCTGCATCGTCCTCGTCATCCTCATCGATCTGTTCCTGTTTCTGTAGTTTGTTACTTCTAACTAGACTATTGCTGTTGTTACTATTGTTATTGCTATTCTTGTTCTTGTTATAGTTGGCATTGTTCTGTGAAAGGATACTACTGATCAAGTCGCGGAATGGTAGACTCTTTGAAGGTGAAACTCCATTCAACACTATATTGATTGAGTGAGTGAGTGAGGATTGAGTGATTGAATGATTGATTGCGCTGGATATGTACACTTATCAATATCACTCTTTGGTGACAACAACATTGATGTAGAGTCGAAATCTAGGCGACCATGTAGTCCTCCACTTATAACTATGTTGACATATGTATGTTCTCTGCGCTTGCCTCTGCGATGCAATGACTATGACGAAGGTATAAGGAGTAGGTCAGTGAGTGGTTGCACATCACATCACATTGAATAGCATTACAAACATACATATCCACAGACTTGACACAGCTCATCACGACATTGATCGCAACGTATGGTGGCAACTTGATCGGAACACTCTACACACATGCCCTTCTGAGCGTCGCACTCCATTGCTGTCTGTTCCTGCTCTTGCTCATCCTCCTCCTCTCCATCTATATCATCCGAATGACTCTCGCTTGACAATATCTTGTTCAACAGTTCAGAGTTTGCTGAAGATATGTCTAAACATTGATTATGGTTATGTGTCAGTGGTGTTCAGTTCATCAAACGATGCGCCGACATGATGTGAACATACTTTGATCAGACATGAGCCTTCTTCCCAAGCCTTTAAAGCTGCCACTGCTGCTGCTGCTACTGCTGCTACTGTCGTCATCCTCTGAGGACGGTCCAAAGGGATAGTACATTCGTATGAGGCTCTTAATTAAATCCACAACTGTTTATTATCTTTGAGGTTGGAGGTAGTTCCTTTTACTTTTGAAACGACCCAACCTGCTAGCACTCAACTCAATCAATCAATCTCTCTCTGTCTGTATGATATGTAGGAATACTACTTATTTGTTCTTATTAAATTATAATTATCTCGAGAAGACGTAAAGAAATAAAGTGGAAGTGTGAGGGAGAGCTGAGTTTGAAGATACGACTTTGTGTGTTTTTGCACTTTGACGACAAAGTCAAGAACTTGATTGAATGAATGAATGGATCGTTGCATGGACCATCTTGGTTGTTTGATTAAGTTTAATATATGTATATTTATATATATATGTTATGTTTAGATATTTATTAGTGCGCTAATACTATACATATTGCAACCAACAAGTTGGCTAACTTGTCGTCTGTTGTTGATGTTGTATTACATTTCCTAATAGTGATGAATTATTGTTTGTTATATTGTTGTTGCTATGTGTGCTTGTTGTAAGTGTTGTTGTTGATGATGGTGCTGCTGTTGCTGCTATCACTGTAGTAGTAGTTGTTGTTGATTGATTGTTTGACACAAGTCCACTGCCACCACCTCCAGTACTACTACTAATACTGTTACTGATGCTGTTGCTGTTGCTTGCGACATTTGTGTTGCTACTGTTACCACCACTGTCTGGTTGTGAGAATTCAATGTCATCTACCCATTTGCCAATGCGATCGATCGTCCAGTACTTGGGATTCCAGACAAAGTTCTCCTCGGCCAGCTCCGACTCTGTGTACCAGATGCCGTTGCGCAGTATCGAGTCGGCGCCTGGGAATGGATTAAGTGCGCTGGTCGTCGCTCGCTTCTGCTGCTCGCCGGCTGCTGCTGACTTGGCCGGTGCGCCCGCAGGCTGGTTGTCATATGCATTTACTGTTGTATTGAGTTGAGATTGAACTTGTTGCGTTGTCGTGGTCGTCGTTGTTGTCTGTTGAGGTTGTACCTGTAGTTGTGATGTTGATGTGTTTATAGTATTACATTGATTGTTGTTGTTTGAGTTGTTCGATGTCTTTAATGTGCTCTTGACGTGATCTGCGACAAGAGTTGTCTGTTGTTGTTGTTGAGGTATCTGTACAGCACTGTTACGTGGTGATTGTTTGAATGAGTTTGATAGTTGTAGCTGTGACTGTAGTGCTTGCTGCTGACTCGTGGTCAATGGAGCGCCGTTGCTGTTGACCCTTGACGAGTCCTGAATCGATTTGTCTGGTGTGAGCGGCCCTGACGCTACGTGCAGTATACTACTGCCGGCTGCGGCTGTAGTGCTGTTTGCCACACCACCCGGTGCGCTGCCAGGTGTATCATGAGGTACTATATGTTGTTGTTGATGTTGTTGCTTATCAATTGTAGGTACGCCAACACCTTGATTATGATGATCTGATAGTCTATTCGTCATCTTTACACCTCTATCATTATTATCCATTTGATTATGATGTTGATGATGATGATGATGTTGATCCTCTTCATTATTATTATTATTATTATTATTATTATTATTGTCTGTATTATTCTTATCCTTTCCCTTTTTGCTCCTTCTTCTCCTCTCTCTCTTCTCTTTAGACATGCCGCAACCCATCTTCTTCTTCTTTATCTATATGTGCTATTGATCAATCTATGTATCTCTCTCTATATCTCTTTCTCTGTCCTCTCCTTCACTATTGTTGTTGAAGTTGATGTTGTAGTATCACAATGTTTGAGCTTGGAGTTTACCTAGCTCTTCTATCTTTTGTACCTCTTCCACTTCACTTATATTTGTTATTGTAGTAGTATATAGTGAAAGTGATTATATCTATAAAAGTATATAAATATATATATATATGTAGTTTAATTAATGTTCATTCAACTCAACAACTAATGTTTGTTGTTTGTGTGTTTGTTTGTTTGAATGAGCGTGCTTTGTTTGAACAACACACACTCACTCCCACCTTCATTGTTTCATCGAGATTCGTATCGCACACACTCATCCATCCATCTATCCATCCTCGTGTTATGCACTGAATGAAGTGAATGAATGAACTTCTGGTATACTCAAGTAGTATAATGATGTACTACGCCATAACTCCTTGTTAGAGGACAGTTTGTACAACATCGCTCAAATGTTCGATAGGGGAAATATATAATGGGCCAACGAGACATTGGTTGTTGGAGGTAGAATGTCACTTTGGTCAACTTTGGAAATGTTGATCTCTGTGATAGATGTGCTAGTATCTTTGACATTATCTCTTGAAGTGTGCCTGTGATGTCCATGGAAGTGATCCACTCCATCTTGGTGATGTACACATTGAGTGTTTGTAGTTGATATGTATGTTCCAACACTGCAGACGCTTCATCAGGACACTCTGGAATATAATCCAACACATCTTTGAAATACTCCATTGTCAATGATAGGCTTGTCAGGTGTTGGGCCGACGTGATATAGAACTTTTGGAGTTGTGATACTGGTACGAGTTGGTAGTCATATGTATAATTAACAGATGTTAGGTTCAGATCTAGATGTTGTACATTGTTGCCTGTGGACGCCATTGATTCAGTCACCAAATCAAAGTATTTGTATGGAAGGATGATTGAATTAATGTGTTTGAGGTCTTTTGGAGCGGAGAAGTATTCGAACTCATCATCCTCTGTGACTTCCTCTAGCTTCACCTTGAAGCTCATATGGATTGACTTTGAATTAATGTGCTGATGTAGAAGGTCTGTTGGTGGGCACTCCATATAAAGTGACCTAAACTCGATTGATTGGACAGAGGGATGATTGATTATGTAGTTCTGAAATATTAATGTGTAACAACGATCAATTCTCAGGTTCTCCATCCGATCAGTCTCTTCAATCATGTGTGCGTGTGAGCTGGTAACTTCTTCGAAGTAATCCACTTGCTTGAACTTGATGTGCCTGACATTTGGCGCATTGACAACCATCAACAAAATATTTCTGCGTCCCTCGAATAAATAGGGGACAGTCATTGACACCAAATGATCCAAACAATGCTGAATATGCTCATTGGGTATGTTGTGAATGTCAACCAGATTGAGGTGTAATGGTGGGGCGCTAAGTAGACAGTGTTTGGAGCCAATGTGATTGATCATTGAGTGAATACGGAGTCCGGATGTCAAGTTGGTCACAATCAATGAGGTTGCGCGAAAGAATTGAGTGGACACTGTTGCCAAATTCAAGAGGAAGTTCTTCTTCCTATTCTTCCGCTTGACCAAGGAGTCCAGCACAAGGTATTTAACTATCTGACCAAGAAACAAAGGTGAAAGACTTGTGAGCAAAACTTGAGTTGACGCTGATGATGAGGGAGTCAATATCTTGTCACGGGAGAGATGCTCTCGGAGTGCAGTGGCGACAGAGTCCTTCTTGAACTGAGTGTACAGCATATGATGATGTTTAAAGTGATGGTCGGGTACCAGTTTGGCAATTATCTCGCTCTTTGGTGGAAGATCGATTGGCTTCCAAGTAGGTATGTGCTTTTCAAAATGTCGGTACTTGAGCAACTGGAATATAGGGCCTGGTAGTTGACAGCCATTAATTATATCTGCAATAATGACACATTTATCTATTTTGGTGATCTGATTGTTGATATATCCGTACCATGCTGATAATGGGTCTGGACAGAGGCTGATCGCTGTGGCCATAGCGGATGGAGAAACTTGTGCAATGCGGTAATACATTCTGGGATCTATTATTCTGTTGTTGTCACCATGTCTTTGTGTCAATGATTTAAAGAATTCGGATTGGCAGTAGGAGAATCTGGAATGTATGCTTGGTTTTTGGCCTACGACGTAGGTATTGACCATTGAATAATGTTGACCGACAAATCTATTGATGGTATCCAATGGTATTGACACCTCTCTTCTCAACAATCCATTGATGGCGGCTTCGATGTGGTGGGACGTGATGTCTTTGGCGTGCGTCCGATCCATCAAAAGATTGATCATACCAATGAATCCACTGACCTTCAAACTGATATCACGACTATCCATCATCATTGTTGTTGTAAACATGTTTGGAGTGATGTCCATTGTCAACAAACGATCAATCAGTGGACCAGTCATATCATCACCATGATCATTGTTGTTGTTGTTGTCAACAATTAGGCAATTGATTAGGCCATCGATCAGAACCAATGATTGTGGCCATTCCTTCTCCAATGTCAACAGTATATGTGTCTCATGCTGCTTGTAATACTTTTATCATGAATGGAAGTGAGCTGAGTCAATGAGTGAATGATTGATTGATTGATAGATTGATCTTACTTGTTTGAATGTTGTACCAAGTCGTGTTATTAAAGTATTGATGTTCCTTGAATTAAGTTTGTTGAACACTTGTGATTGACAGAGTTCTGTTGGTTCTATGAGTGGATGTACCAACTCAAACAAACAATTTAGATAGTCCATGCTGTTGTTATTATCTTGTAATGCCAATAACATATTGATTATTAATGTATTACTATTTGTCGTTGTGTCCGACTTATCATCACCCATTAAGATCTTCAATGTCTCTGTCAGCCTACCATACAACATATCATGTGGCCTGACATTTAGCGAGAGTGAATTGAGTATGAACCTGGTTCCATTCATTCAATCATTCATTGTTAATATTAATATAAGTGAGTATGGATAGTGATGGACTTACTCAAATAACCCATTTTTATGATTGGTCAGTTGTAGTGGCCATGATGTTGAGTTGTTGGGAATGATTGCCAAGAGGTAGTTCAATATTTGTGTTCTTTCAAGATAGCTCTTGTTATCCAAATTGTTCAATATAGTTGATAGTTGGACCAATTCATCATCTTGTTCATATTGAAACATATCTTATATATATTATTATTATTGTTATAATGGATGATAAGACAATCAATGCTTGAATCACCTCATTCTTGATAACTTTGAGTTGAGGGAAGTTCGACCAAACATGTTCTTTGTTAAAGTCACCCCCCTCTCACAATCTTCAAGAAAAGACCAAAGAAAGATTCAAATCAACAAGTATCTCGAGGTGTGAGTGATGTTGAGGGAGTGACATTGACAAAGAGATACAACTAACCAATCAAGTATACATACATTATACATTATACATATAGAACAAGTAGAATAGGATATAGGATATAGGAATATAGGATGGTCAAGTTCTTGTCTTTTGATTTGTTCGATAGCCAGAACTTGCTACCATCAGAGAATGATGATGCAATGGAGCCATTGGATGTAGTGCCAGCACTCAATGACTTCTTGGTCAGTACAAAGTCGGGAACGATATTACATTATGCGATCGGTGCCACGGAGAGCACCGTGTTGAACAGGTTCACTACGCAGAACAGCCACATAATGTCGTTGCACTACGTGCCTGCCAACGATTCGATCCTGACGCTGGAGCGAGACACTGACGCCTCAAAGATCTACGTCGTGCGACTCTACCAGAATTGGCGACAGAACCAATCGTTTGAGGATGCCAACAACGCACTCTCATCAAGCCCCATGTCGACGGGCGGTGGGGCCCACAGCCACCTCACGTCCTCGTCGCCGCATCTGAGCGGCGGACACTCGTCGGGCCAGAACAGTCCGCACAAGGACCACACGTCGACACTGCCCACCGTGCTCAAGATACCCCTGCCGTCGTCGGCCATTGCCATCAACGTGTGTCCCGTTACCAGCAGAGTGGTCGTGGCCACTGAGAAGTCGGTGAGTGTCTGGAGCAGCGTCAGTACGGGCGGACTTTTCATCACCTACTTTGAGCGCATCCTCGACATTGATGCAGAGAACGTCAGGCATGTGTCCATTCACGAAGGATTCGTAGCCTATGCCACCAAGATCGATGTCAAGATCCTCTCGCTCAACATCCACTATCAAGAGCCCATCAACATTGAGTCGCTGGCATCACCAGTGCTCATCAACTCGAATGAGCATGCTGTCAATGTACGTAACTAGTTGCACCATCACTGGAACTATTCCAATCACTCACTCACTTCATCACTCACTCAATCAATCAATCAATCATACAGAATGGACCTTCAGAGATTGTTGAGGATGAACATTACTTTGAGGTTAACTTTGATGCCTCTGGCAATCAGACTGGAAAGAATCAGTTGGGCATGCTACAGACGACAGTACAGACGAATATGAGCGATGATAATGAACACGAGATTGTTGGACCAATCACAGACATTGACCATGGCATCAGCGTCAACTCGGACTTTGGCTACTCGCTGCTGTCCTCCACGCTGGTGCTCAGCCGACGCTTCTCAAAGGAGGACAGGATACACTCGCTGTTCTTCCTGCCGGACTACACTCGCATCCTCAACGTCGACTCTGATCACAACAGGATCTCGCCATCTGCGTCGGGCAACGCCACCACTGATCAAAAGAACATCAAGATGCGATGTGTCTTCTCCACGCAGAAGGAGGGCTTCCTCTACAACATCTCCAAGCCCGGCTTGCTTGCCTCCTACCTCTACGCGAATGAGACTCTGATGTGCCAGGCCAGCCACTGCTTCCTCTACACGGTCACCACAGCAGGTCTCCAGACATGGTCACTGCGATCATGTGATGGTGCCGACGACGGAAGCGACGGCCACACGCCCTGCGGCTTTGGTCTGCGAACATTCTTTGGTCTAAACAAGCTGGCAGTCATTGGCGACTACATTGTACTACTCTCCAAGATGACGCAGGACCAGGTGGCCGAGATGAGCGGTCCAGGAGGCATGCTGCGGTCGCCCTCACGTATACTCTCGCCCAAGAAGACGCTGAATGAGGTGAAGCTCGACAAGATCATGTGGGCTGTGTACGTGGTGCACCACACTCCCCTCCAGTCACTATATGGCCAGATCCTAGAGTATGCCACCAAGATCAAAGAGAAGGACGAGGACGTCTATCATCAGCTGCTGCTCGAGGGACACTTCTTGCTGCAGGCCAAACTGTCCAACCAGTTCCGATCCAATCCAAACATGAATGATGTGGCTTCGATGGTCAACCACGACGTTGAGCGCAAGAACTTTAGGAAGCTGCTTAGAAAGTCGTCGTCCTATCTTGGCCAATACTTCCTCAACAGCCAACAGGACTACATGAGAGCTGCCCTCTGGTTCAGCACAAGCGACACAGACATTGAGTTGGTATTCAATCTCTTGTCCCAAAATACCAGTTCACACAAGGCACTTAGCTACTACTTGAAGCAAGTGTTGTTTAATCCATCAGTAAGTCATCCATCCATTGCCACTTATACACATGGATTGAATCCATTCACTTACTCCCCTCCCCCCAGTCTGTTGAGTTCTTAGCCGACAAAGAAGACCTTAGCAATAAGATACTTAGACATTATCATTCAGAGAGCCCTCACAACTTGGCCTACCTCATTTTGGAATCATCAGTGTCGTCATATTCACAAGAGTTGGCAATCGAGTTGCTGAAGAATCTATCGGAGCAATGCGACTTTGATATGGAGCAGAGGAATATGAACTACTTTGCCCTGGGACTGCTCTACTTGGACCAGGCCAACTGTATCGATGAATCCATCTCATCACTCAATCAAATACCTGTAGACTCTCTTATCAGTCTCTGTCTAAAGAACCCCAAGCTATTGCTGGCGCCAAACTCCAACCCAACGGCACTCGGCAAGATACTGCGACAGACTATCCCATGGGGACTGCTCCAGATCACAGTGCAGTTGGTCAAGAAGAAGGAGATCTCGCCCGATGATGCATTCAATATCTTGGTTCACTCGACCACCACCCTCAACGGTGGCGTGCTCAACAGCACGATCAGCAGCTACCATCACCAGGACTTTGACCTGGACTCACTGCTGCTCAAGGTGTATCTGGAGTGGTTCCTTAATGAACAGTGCAATGACCACATCAACAACCTCAACAACATGACATCGATGACACATTCGACCACATCATCTCACAACATTCTGCTCGACCTCGTACCAGGCTTCACCAAGAACCTCATCCATCTCTATGTTCTCGACATCCACAGATACCGTGGCGATGACAAACAACTCTTCCAATCATTGAACATCGATGTAGCCATGATTGTCAACTCCACCGGACCCAAGATATCATCAAGCAAACCAAACGTCAGCCAATTGAACAACAAGATACTCACGTATGTTGGTAGAAGGACGATCCCGCCCACATCACCATTCATTCATCGACTAACCACCATCAAACAAACAATCAATAGTGATGAATACTGTAATCAATGGATATTGAACCATCTCAAGACATACTCCGGCATACCTCATTGGCTATCTAAGCTGCCACCATTCTCTTTGGACGCTCAGAGGAACCCGTCAGAGAAGGAGGACCCAACATCAAAACTATCCTCGCTGTATTATAGAAAGCTTCACTCGCTCCTCTACTCAACTCGCGTGCAAGACTTTGAATTCATGGAGAACATCGAGACCATCTTTAGCAACGACGTAGAGAACATCATGTTCATCTCGCTCAAGCTGGCTTGTCTTCCGCTGCTCGATCGCACTGAGGACGGCATCAAACTGGGCGTGAACACACAGATCTCCATCATGTTGGAGTATGGCCTACACTTTTGCAAGCACAGTGATTGGAGTGTCGTGCTGGAGCAGGTGCTCAAGCGCTACATGGCATCCGAGCCCAATCAGTCAGAGGCCGTGCTCCAGGAGTACGAGAGAATCCTCGACCACCTCACCAACTACATGGACCCAGAGGCATTCCTCCAGTTGTTGCCGTCCAATGGCAAGATGGACTACTTCCTGCCATTCATTGAGAAGTCCTTCCTTAATCACCATGCCAAGTTGCTCAAGTCCAAGCTGTCTGACTTCCTGTTGGACATGAACTAATCCAACTCACATAGAGGCAGGGCTGCAGACCTAAGGTAATATAATAATAAATAATCAGATTGAGTTGCCGTTTATTGAATGGCAACCTATACAACGCCAAAGGAGTTAACAAACTTCCTGCCATTTAGCAATCCAGTTGTACAGACTATAAAGTCTCGTGAACCATTCTTGCTCAGATGTCGCAGTGCACTGATCTCTGAGAATGTACATCCACCAATGAAGTATACTATTGTCTTCTTTCTCTCCACTCCTGGCGTTGCTGCTACCTCTGTCGTAGTCTCATGTGTCTGTCCATTCTCTTGTTGCGAATCTGTTGTTGTTGATGGTGCTGACTTGGGCAGTGTACCCTCAAACAGTGGACCAGGTAAGAGGTTCATTACATCATCCATTCGCATCCAATCATTGTCCTGACTACTGAAGTACCTCTCGAGGATTCGTGCAATTAGAGGTGCATAGCCAGAGTGAGTGTAGGAGATGTCCGTGTCGTGAGCCTCGGGTGTCAAATTCATTAGTTGCCTCAGTTGCTCGTACTTTGATGCCGATGACGACTCGCCAAACATGATACCATCCTGATCGATACTCTTGGTCTGGAGCAGACCAACCACCTCCAAGTGATTAAGTAGTATCAATGTATGGATGCCATAAGTCTGTACAATGTTAAACTTCCAATTGTCGTACAACTCTGATGGTATTCGTCCAACAGTCAGGCTGTACAATGCCATCATTCCAACTACCTTCTCTAGATAATGTCTTTCAAAGATACAATCGCTTATATACTTCTCAACCTCTTCGATGCCCTTGTTTCTAAGCAGCTCTATTTGAATGTTTGGTCAGTGATTGATTGATTGATACTCTTCTCGCGCTCCAACTTACTATGTTGATGCTGGAACTCTTGATTAAAGTCACTCATTGTTATACATTCGGCCAGTCTCTCTGCTAGACAGATATGTGTGTCAAGCCTTGTGATACTGTTCATGATATCCTTGAGTTGGGCAGTTGATACATCGCCAAGGTTGATATTAGAGAACAATTCCTCATATGCCATTGACTTGATATTGAGCAATCCATCATTTCCAACCACTTGAGACAAGTTCAAGTCTCTAGTATCCTTGAAGAATTGATCATCAGAGTTCAACAACATTGAGAGGACTGAGTTTATACCACCATCCATGCTCTCAGTGTCTTTAAAGTATATGGCTCTATTGTCCAACTCGACAATATCTATTCATTCGGGTTTGTCTTGGTTAGGTACGGATATTGATTGATTGATTGATCGGTTGGTCGATTGAACTTACTGCTATATATTGAAAAGAACTCGTCCAGCAGGCCTTCGTAGGTCAGTGGCAGACAAAATGGAGTCACAAGGTCTATCTCGCGATCAATCAGTATCAAACTATCTATTTCGGTGCTAATTCCAACCTTCTTCTTAACAAGCTCCTCGCGGGACATTCCAAGTTGGTCATATATCATCTGGAAATATGTGGCGACAAGTGTTAGAGTGGCGGGCGAGAGTTGTTTGGACTGTTGTCGCATTGGTTACCTTTGAGAACATTCCTTTGCCTCTGATACTTGGAATGATTCCATATTGATGTTGTAGTTGATTGATTGATTTGAGCACTGCAGACAACACTGTCCTGTTCTGATCGGTGAGCAATGCTGAGTAGGACTCTGGTGGCAACTCCAATGAGAGTATATCACTCTCAAGTGGTACCATGTATGCTGGTAGTTCATGATGTATTGCTTCAATTCCAGCCTCCTCCAACAATTGTATCCAGAATGGATTGATTCGGTACATGTGTATAATAATGAATTGTCTGTCCAATGAGTCATACTCCTTATGTAATGCGATGCTATCAATCACCTGATTGACATCGTCCAGACTGTTAGACGAATGATTGATTGGATTGGTGAGTGAGTGGGTGAGTAGATTGATTGGATTGAGTGGAGTGAATGAACATACCTGTCCCTTATTATATATATTAGATCAGATTGATCAGAGCTGTAGGCGTTTGAATCCAAACGGTGGACTTCTTTGGCACCAACTACTTTAAGGAATTGACTGTCACCAATGAGGTCCAGTAATGGCAATAGGGTGGCCTCAACAAACAGAGCATATTGCTCACAATGTTTGTTTAACAAACTTGCCAATACAGTTTGGAGATGAAGTCTTTGCTTGGACAGATTGAGTATGGAGTCGAGACTTGATGGTGATGTTGTGGACGTCGATAAGAATGAGAATGAGTTGGTTCCATTACTTGACAATGATGACAAGGATGATGCCAAAGTATGAGTATGTAATACTTTGAAATCGAATGATCCATCATCCTCCTCTTGTTCCTCTTCCTCCTGTTTGGTGTTGTCCACATTCTTTGAAGTATCAAGTTGTTTGAACAAGTCAACCAAGTGTTGTGGGGCATCACCAACATCATTGTTCTTGGCATTTCCATTGCCGTTGCCATTGCCATTTCCATTTCCATTTCCATTGTGATCAGATTGTTTGTGATCCTTGTCCTTATTCTTATTCTTGTTGATCACAATCTTTATGGGTGGACCAGTTGGACGATTGAAGTGCTTCTTCAAAGGGTTACTATCAACTATGAGCAAGGATCTTGTTGTCCTATGAATGAGGTCATCACCTCTCTTTGATGTTGTTGTTCTATCTGTTGTCATCATTCTCTCTCTCTTTCTCAATCTAGTGCAAACATATATATAAATAGAAGTGATGAATGAATCAAGTTTAAACTTTGCTTTGTTGAGTTGGTGTTGAGAGATTCCGAAGCGACCCCGCCAATGAATCAATAATTGGCCCCCAACATACACACTTTGAAATGATCTTTGGTGCGTGGTCATCAGGTGATTATGTGAACCCCTTCAATCAATCAGGTGAGTTTCATTGAACTAGGGTGCCACGCGAAAACTTGTGAGAACATTCAATCAGTCCGAAACACATAAATATCTATCCTCAAGATACCTTAACTTATTATTTGATTGACCATGTTAGTATGAATGAATGAATGAATGAAGATCACATCATTGATGCTAGCTGATGGTTAATCAGCACAGTTTGGACTTATATTTATTTGTTCTATTAGAGAGTTATGTTTGTTTGTGCGAATAATACACAACATCAACAACCTCTTTCGTATGTTTATCAAAGACCCACAATGAAGTGGAACAGTGTGTGATTAGTTGGGATATATTAATTGATTGATTGATTGGTTGATAATACATCTTGAGTTGGTTGGATGGATTGATTGATGGATGCATTGATTCGATAAGGCAATGATTTGTCGCCTCTGCATCACTTCCAGGTGCACCTGATTTAGAGCTTGGACTGGATGGGTATCTTGACCTTCTCCAACTTGACCTTCTCAATGTTGATCTCGAGCACTCCGTCATTCATCGATGCTTTGACCTTGGAGGTGTCGGTGCCAGGCGGCAGACGGTACGATCTGATGAACTTCCCATAAGACGACTCCATTCGGTGGCAACGCTCTGTCTCGTCCTTCTTCTGATACTTCTTCTCCCCACTGATAATGATTGTAGAGGCATCCTTTGAAACATCGATTGACACATTCTCCTTGGTCAATCCTGGCAATTCGAATATTATCACAATAGATGTTTCATTCTCCTTTATATCCACTACCGGTCTCCAAATACTAATTCTAGTTGGTGATGTTGAGTCTCCATTATTAAACAATCTCTTTTGTAATCTCTTCATTTCTTTACTTGGATGGAACTCCATTCTTAATATTATTATTTGTTTATATATAGATAATTAATATATTATGATAATAGTAATTATTTGTTGTTGTTGTTGTTGTTGTTGATGATGATGTTGACTAATGTATATATTTATGAATCGCTACTACTTTGATACTTGTTTGGTGCTCCAACACAAATATATATGTGATATATATAAATAGAGATTGGATGGATGCTTAGCCGCTCTTTGTTCGAATTGAACACTCGCGCGCGCTGGAGATGGATAGATGGTTGATTGGTGGACAGACACGAAGATGAGAGTGAAGATGTAAATGGCCTAATTCTTATCTCCTTTTGTGAACACACTACCACACACCTTCTACTCTTTCCAATTCCAACTAACACGCACTACCTCCCAACAACCACACTGCTACTATACTCTATCTATCTATCTGTCTGTCTGTTTGAATTGGAATGGTGGTGGGTGTTTGTCGTGGTTTGTTGTGGTTGGATGTTTGGTGTGACCACAGACAGGCTTTAACAACTAAATCAGTGTTTATCTCTTTTCTTCCTTCACACTTAATGTAGTAATATGTCTTTAATGTATTTGATTGATTGATTGATTGATTGAGGAGGTAAAGGTTTGATTGATTGAATGAATGATGGTTCATTAATCGAATGGATCGGTACTGCCTGTACCTTCATACTTATTGAACTTGGTCATGTGACATTCAGATACAGAGTCCTCTTAGGATACCACCGAAAGGGGCAAATGGACTTGCTTCAACTCACACACAAACTTGGGATTTCCCATCCAAATTGGAGCTGAGGTCCCTGTGTTCCATCAATCACAAACTTATTTTTAATGAGCTGAATAAGCTGAATCCCATCAACTTTTTGAAATTTCCTTCACTCTTTTGTAAATATGGGGCTGCAGCCCGTAAGATGATGATTAATCATCATCCACACGGTTCCCAACTATCCATCATGTCTCCCCATAAATGGAAATTGTCAATCAATCAATCATCTGATCGACTAATCACGTTCCATAGTTTATATATTTATTTAATTTATTTATTTCCTTTTGTTCCTCTTGTTTATCTTTGATGTTGTTGTCGCGGTCTCATCAACATCATCCTCACTTTTGCGCTTCTTGACACTATTCAATTTAGTCTGCTCCAATAACTTGGCCCTCTTCTCTTTGCTCTGTGCCACTATTGATTGAATAGCTTGGCTACTCTTGAACTCCTTCATCGTATGTATGCTCCTCAAGTCAAACGATATGCCAATGTCCAATAGATGCTGGAGCATTGCCACATCAGAGTTCTCGACGAATGGTTTGATCACAATGTTATATGCCATGAATCTTGTGCAGTAGTCTTGATCCAAATGCTCCAACAGAAAATCCAGTGTTTCGATGTGACCTTGCCACATTGCCGCCAGCAACAGCTCATCCATGTACTGCTCGTCCTTTTTGTTGTTGGGGTTGAGTGGATCAACGGCGAGCAATACCTCCAACACTTCCAGGTTGCCATCTATAACTGCTTGTAAATGATAATGTTTGTCCAACAATACATCCATGTGATGTTGATATAAATGTTTGATCATGTTCACTTGATTGCATTCAATCGCTCCAAACAGTGCTTTCTCGGGTATGTAGTCAATCTCGTTTTGGCCGATGAGCATCTTCTCAAACCAGAAGTCATGCTCATGGTACTCATAGTTTGCGAGACAGTAATCAAAAAAGGCGATATCACCCATTCGACCAATTGTTGGAAAGATACCATAACTAGGTTTGATGTTGCCCTTCTCGACCAACATTCTGATCACTTCCATGTGGTGTCCACCATTGGTCAATACAAGGTGGAACAACAATCTTGTGCTCATTGAAAGTTTGCTGGGGATGTGATCCAGGAGGATGCTGAGCGAGTCCAGACGAGCCAAGCTCACTGCAAACCTCATCGTGTTCTCCCATTCAAACATCTCGGGCTTGACCTTGAAGAAGTACTCGAGTTGATCGGGCTCGAGCACCAATGAGTATCTGACGACATTTTTTGAGAATATCCTGTTGTCGTCTGACAGCAAGAACTCAAGCATCTCCATCGTGCCATTGAACAATGTATAACTCAATGCCTGGGGTTGAACTATTCGTTTGGTGCTGTTGAGGTACTTGATGATCTCGAAGCTGCGAGACATGTCGTCGGCCGTGTTGAAGAAGTGGAACTGGTCGCTCAGCGGACCGGACGAGTCAATATTATAGTTGTTGCCCGATTGATCTTGAAGGTACTCCATTGTCACCATCGCCTGAGTGACTGTGCCACGCTGTGTGATCGTGCTGAACAATACATCCACGTCATGTCTATTCAATGGATATCCATTGTTGCCCAAAAAGAATGGGATGAGCATGCAGTCGCCAGTGGCAATGTATTGTCGGAGAGCATAATTGTTCAGTTTGTCAGAATGACGTCTCTGCACATTAAGTTGATACAGTTTGACAAAGACCATTAGTTGTGCATCATCAATCATTGTGATGTTGTTGTTGTTGTTATTGTTGTGGTCCAACATGCCATGTTTGGATAATATAGCTTGAGTCGTCTTCTTTGATGATAATAATGCAATCGCATTGTTCGCCTCCATTTGTTGATCAATGTCCATATGTGGGAGCAGTCGTAAAAAATGTGCCAGTTGTTCAGCTGGAGAGACATTGGGTCCAGACTTCATCATTTCAGATGTGATTCGGAAGTTGGGCAGCATCATCACGCCCTCCTTGAACAATAGCTCATTGATATGTTGTTGATCGCGACTGGCCAAAATGTTATTGACATGCATTCGCGCCTTGGATATGAACTTGTCAAGGAACTCTTGAGGAAAGTTGTTCACATCCTCACGCATGATACGAAGGGCATCAGGGGACCTGAAGAACTTGTCCAGCGGCACCACGCCAGGGCCATGCACCCTGTTCAGATTGATCGTCAACAGACGGTCATTGTCGAAAAGTCCCGAGTCCATGAGGTACTTGAGCACAGTGATTGACGGGCTTGTGAGCGCGTGTATGAGTAACTCATGGCCTCGCTCAAATATCACTGGATATGTCTGGTGAAGCAAAGTCTGCACGATGACCAAGTTGTCAGCCTCCACAGCCCAACGTAGTGCATCAATGTCACAGAAGTATCGTTGATATCTATCGTACACCATCTTGAATGTGTCTTGGTCAATGTCCTTTGCTTTGCACAGTGTCTTGATAGAACCGATATTGGTCTTTGTATTGCGATTGATTGTTATATGTAGTTTATGTTTGATACGATCACGTAACAAACCATATTGTTTGTGTTTAACAATTGTTACCATGTTAGTCCATTGATGATACTTTGTTCTAAAGTAATAGTTGTCATGTGTTGTTATTGTTGGAAGTTGTCCATTGTCAGGTAGACCAGCACCACTTCGACCTCCACTTCTAGAGTATGAAGCAATGATATTCTTGACATATGTCCTATTAGTGAGTACTCTCATTATACTACTACTACTACTAGTTGTTGTTGTTGTTGCCATCGTTGTTCAAAGGGGAGGTCGCTGTCAATGTAATGTTATGTTCAATCAATCAACAAAGTGAACGCAAAAGGCATGATTGAATGACCAAACATATCTTGTTGTCTATGTTCCACCTGGAATTCTTTATCACTTCCCTCCTGTGTTGTTAAAATAATTATGATGTCTTGAGTTTTGATTGACGGAATTAATGG